TATTCATAATATCTTTTTCACTTGTTTTCAGGCCCGTACAGTTTAACCTTAAAAAATGTTTATGACATCGAGATCCATTCACAGGTAATTCACCAGTGTGTCACTAACGCCATACCCCGAAAATGCCACACTATAAAATCCCTAAATCGATATTTCCGTTGGCAACTGCTGCCAATAATTGTTAAATAACGAGTTAAAATGATAGATCTAAGGTATAAATTAATAGGAAGCTTTAAACCAGCATCGATAAAATAGGTATTTTGAATGGAGCCTTGATTGGTCTATGAAGTTTTCATGTATCTTATGAATTAACAGGGTCAATAACTAACTGCTGATTGACTGTTATAAACCAGCTAAAAGTAGAAATTTTATTGAATACAAACAATCGTAGTTAGTACTACAGTTATTATTCTTGGCAGTAAGGTAAACGGAACCACCATCACTCAAACCTTTATATAGGTAACGAGGAATGAATTGAAGACCGGGAAAACACTGTTCGTCGTTGTATCTGTGCTTGTCCTCTAAAGACATTTTGGTTAGAAGTTCCAAGCGGCTGCAGCACTGGGCTAACTTTCAGTTTTTCTGTCCTACACCAATCATGTTTGCAACACGACTGCAATACTCCTTCAGCGAACTCAAGATCTCCTCAGAGATTTCTGAGCGATACTTAAATCATGGTATGAACACATCCATGTTTCCTTTTTGCGATCATTTAAGCTTCCGCGTCAACCCCATATTTCGCAAAATATTGTAAAACTTACCTCCGTTTGTTGATGCAACGGGTTTTACACACTCAAATTGTTCTAACCCTCCCTCATCCCCAAAGAGCAAGTGCTAGAAACTCCAGGTTAGTGCAAGCCCTACCATTACCGTAATTCCTTTTGACAGTCTGACATCAAATAAATGGTCCTGCAACCTCCAAGTAATTTTTAATAGGGGCATTGTTCTTTAACTTTATTTTTCTCTATCTAAATAAACAACCGAATTCAGACAATCCCTAGTACTCTGATGGAAATAAATTTAACTTTCCAAGAAAAACGCATCTAATTTGTCGATGTTACTATTCATTTGGATTACAACTTTTGCTAAGTCACGTTTTTTTCTGTCAACGAGGTGACCGAGAATAAAACGCAAAGGAGACGGGTTGTTTTATTGCTTGATGGTGTGCTGAAAGCGGCGTGAGTATCAGTTCCAAGAAAAAGCAGTTTAAGAGCATCATGGGATACCAACACAAAACCAAGGAGTACTAGCCAAGTAAACTCTTAGTGCCCTAAGTTTAGGTTAAATTAAACAATACTACCCATGATCGACCGCGTAATACCGCGCAATACAATGTATCTGCGTTTTGTTTCATAAAATTTGACTATTGAGAACACTTAAAACAACCTGTGGTTATCAGTGGTAGCGTTCGCACCAAACGATTTAGTTTCATGGAAGCAGGTGACTATGACTTTCCCGTAATTTTCAAAATGATGATACAAGTGTGATGTGATTTCTTTTTAAAGGGGCGTTTTTAAGAAGAACCGAAAGTTCCTTTCATTCTTGTTAAGATTCATCAGCACTGAGATGTATTTTCTCCTTCTCTATTACCCCGGGACTCTGTAGTCGAGAGCTTCCAGGCTGAGAGTCGAAATCCTCGAATCTGATCCACGCATTTAATATCCATCAATTTAATTGCATCATTACAATTTGGGGACATTTTCTGTGCTGTCGATGTGAACTGACTGATATCTGGGTCTGTTTATTGGGCTCTTGTTTGAATCCGAGTCACTGGGGGTTTTATTGAATCCTCCCGTATGGCAAATCTTGTTACGAATCATTTCATCACTGTTGAGCAACTCATTTTAGGTCACGAGACCGGGCTAGTTGATTATGTGTTTGCAAAGTCATAATGCTTTCAGTTCACCTTCATTTTGGAAAACCGTCAATGTGCAAAAATGTGATATAACATTAAACTAATTAAAGTAATCCGTATGTGAAGGTTCAGAAAGGCTAACAGAGGTTTGCTTGCTTAATTTCCACTAATTATTCAAGTATTGGATACGAGCTGATCAATTACATGCCTCGAATTGATTATCCATTGTGACTGAATTCGAATTGTGAGTCAATGGTAGATCACCAACACGTTTAAAGCACTATTTACTGGGAACCATACGATTTACCTCGGTTAAAACATGAACGATGCGCATCGAAATAAAGGGTATGATATAAAATAAGCCAGAAAATAAAGAACGTAAAATTTATAGAATAGTACAAAACGATTATTGTAACTTGAGTTTATCTTTTCCCGTGACAGATTTAGTGTGCATAAACAGCTATATTATTTGCACAGCCTATTTATTCCTGACGATATGCACTTTATTTCTCCCGAAAATCATCAAATATTACTGATCACTGCCCAACAAATCTACTCAAATGGTGGATATTAAGCTAGCCTTTGAGAATGGTTCAACTCTGTACTAACGGGTAAGTGATGAACTTTGAATAATCAGTTATTTTAAAATATTCCATGTCGTGCAAAAAATAATTATATTGAGGAACAATGGAATGACTGATGGACTAACAGACAATGTGGTTTCTGTTATCAGTGAAAACAATTTGAAAAGCAATCAGACGGAACGGAATAAATTGGTAAATGTGCATGAGGAATGAAATCTGCTCGAAGGACAACCTTCAAACTATCTTGATTCAATATCTTTAATTGTCCATAATCATTAGAGCTTTCCTGGGATCTATACTGGCTGTGAAATCAGGGCCCCAGATACATCGATCAAGATATGTTTGAAGCCAATCGAAGTTTTAATTTGTGTAAACGAGAGTCAAATTGCTTTAGTGTGAATTGTCTACAGAACCCAAACGAATAAATTGTCATTTCACTTCAGAACATAGACATAAATAAAATGATTAAGTCACTCATCAGTGCAGTGGTTTTACACCTAACTGAAACAAGTCACGCTGTGAACTTGGTCGACGATTTCCGTCTCCGATATATAGCTACTGAACGATTATCAAGGCAGGTTCGTTGTCGGATGCTGGCCCCAGCAGAAGCGGTGGGCATTTGTCTACACACCCACTCTGTGTGCCCAAAAACAGTTTGTTTAAGCGCTAAGCTTCCTTGGCCTACACCCAAACTCACCCCACCCCACCGTATCCCCAGTAGTCTCGATGATCGAATGAATGGAAAAACAACTACGTGATCGTGGTGAATCCCATTTCCAATCTCATAATGAAATCGTTTCTTGTGATCTGCGATGGGATTTTAGTTTATTTTCCCAAGACAGTTTTATTCCCCTGCAGTGATTTATATTGCGATGTTTGCATGAATACGGTTAACTGAAAACGAAATTGTGCACCACCCTGTTGTTGTTTTTTAAGTCTGCTCTGTGAGACTCTTTCGACAATAAATAGAAAAGACTAGCAAATAAAGTTTGACAAAGGAGTAATAGCAATTTATATTTGTGTTTGAAATTTGAATCGTGTTAAGGAAGGATTACGTGATTACCATATGTAGAAGATAAAAGGAGCCAATGGGTGTCCTAATCCGTCGGTCAATTATCCCCCTCCATCTCCAATTCTCACTATATGAATCCAGTTTCCACAGCAAATAATTTGACTCCTTACCATGAAATAAAAACTGATAAATGCAATAGATTTCCTGTGATAGATATGATCGATTTGACCTATTGACACTGTTCAAAGCATTGTAGGTGTACATCGGAACACGTGAAAATCTTTACGTGGAGAAAATCTATTGGAGATGACGGAGGAAATTGAGGTTTTGATATGACTTGCCTTTTGAAACTCAGTAATCAATTCAAGCCAGTTTTTGTGTCCATCGATCTGCTATTTTTTCTCTTTCTTTGGTGAGTGAATGTAGTCTAGAGTTCGGTACTAAACAGAAATAACCATGCTTCTGGATGGGACATACAATTGCAAGATGATCGTTTTTGTTTTGATGAAAGATTTTTAGCGATAGGTTTCTTTAACAGATCACAATTTCATAAATATTTATGTTATAGGAGAATTCTACGTGTGGCCAAAATTTTTTATGTATGCCTTGTGNCCCCCCCCCCCCCCCCGAATTTTAAAGTCATGTATTTCCACCTGAGCATATCCTTCTCATAGAGCTTTTCCTTGTGTCCAGTGTCTTTTGGACTGGGTTGTATTCGATTTCTTCTTTGAATATCGTGCCACAGTGGATCTGAATCTGTCGCCTGACTTGTGTCCGTGCATCTGATCTTTTCACACGTACACACACGATTCATCACAATTCACCGGAGTAAGCATATAAGCTGACCACTAACTAATTAGAATCCCCCAGGATGACCCCCAGAACGGAGCCATTTTGGTGGGTACTGAAACGGAGGGATGGTTAAACAAAGTACTGGTAGGAGTAAGAATACCGCGACGATTACATTCCTTTTCAAATCACAATACTTAGTTGTTTAGAGGTATCTTTACGACAGAATCATCTTTTGCATACCTTCTATCGTATTCCATCGAAGTAATTTCATTGCAAACAAACCTTTTGAAGAACTGTTGTTTATAGTACAGCTTCGAACTACATGACATCATTTTTGAAAGTAAAGTGTTGTATCTTGTTTAAGTGAACAAATAACCAGGTATTGAATTAAGTACCACGTTCGTTCGCAACACACACACACACACAAAGAAGTATACAGTCTAGGGGTCGATGAGCAAGCAGCGATGTCAACACGTGAGCAGGCAGGTAGCGGTTTCATAGGTTACAAAATTGCAAAATTCCGGAAGCTGAGTGGTCAACGCATCAGACAACGCGGACAGATCCATAGTGATGTATAATTGGTTGAGCGTCAGCCAATTATTTAGTAATGCTATGTGCAGTAAACGTTTATGTCAACTGCTGGTCTCAAAATAGAGGGTGTTCATTTTTTAGTTACGCATATGTGTGTCATCCAACTGGAATTTTATCAGAATGAAACCGACTTTGTCTCTTTTGTTTTCCTTAGCTTTCAAGTATCATGGAGGTGGCGTGTGAAATTGAGATGATCAAAGATCCGGAAACTCGAAAATCCAACGTGACCTATGTGGCTCGACACATTGAAGATGCGCTGACCGCCCAGCGCGAGTATCGTTCCGGTTGCGCTGTTCGATGTAGACACTGTTTGGCCAAAAGTTGTTGCTTGTGGTTTGGCAAACGCTACGGGAATTATCTCATCTGTCTTTATCTGATAACCAAATCTCTATACATTCTCAATGTGGTCGGTCAGTTCTTTTTCATGAATCGAATCCTTGGAACCAATTACACATTCTACGGACTGGACCTATTACGAGATTTGGCCGAGGGCTATATGTGGCAAGAGTCGGGAAACTTTCCCCGTATTACCCTATGTGACTTCGAAGTCCGCAAGCTGGCCAACACACATCGTCACACGGTTCAATGTGTCCTGCCAATCAATATGTTTAATGAGAAGATTTTTATTTTTCTATGGTTCTGGTTCATCCTGGTGGCTGCAGTCAACACTAGTAGTTTTCTTTATTGGTCCTATAAATCGAGCTTTCACGGAAACCGTGTGCACTTTGTCCGTAAATTTCTAAAACTTCGTGACGCACTCGAGCCTGGAGATAAAAAGCGCACATTTGCATTTGTAGACTCTTATCTACGACAAGATGGAGTGTTCATTCTTCGGTTAGTCGCCCAGAATGCTGGCGAATTGGTCGCCTCAGAAATTGTTGAACGATTATGGTCCATGTACAAGTCCCATCAGTCTGTGAGTACTACGCGTCTTGGCGGCCCTAGCCCAGTAACGGTAGAACTGGGTAAAGCCGGTCCGATCAGTACGCCCCCATCATTTTTACCTCATCCGCATCGATCCAATCACCATCACCATCATCACCACCATAGACACCCGCTCAGCCCCACACCCAGTGTGGGCCAACGGAGCAGTCGATCTTCCGAACCAAACGATGACGGGGGCAAAACACAACCACCCCCAGTCTATTCCGCCCGTCAACCAATGCTAACTCCGGCTGGTCATATTGGATTTAGTCCACCACCATTACCGCCTTCTGCTCGAGCCTCAGCACCACCACCGTTGCCTCCACCACCGGCAAGTAGTAACAACGGGAGTACGGGAGAACGACGTAGTACGTCGTCAAACAGTCGTAGTCAGTCGTCCAGTGTGGCTGACAGTGAAAACCCATCTGTTCGACTCAGACCACTACCCGGCAAACAGGGCCAGACTCCGCCGACAACGCGACCCACGTCGAGTAAACCATTGGAAGAGTCAAAAACCGTTTCTTCTTCCACGCCTGGTGCCTTCCGTTTGTCGACCAGTTCCGGTGGAGCAATCAATTCCTCGTTTGCCCCTGTGAAACAAGACACCACACGAACAAGTGGTCAACTGGAAGAAGATCCGGGCGAGTTTGTCTGAGTTTCAGAAATCACATTGCACACAGAAAGACATTAACAGTAAATGCACAGATCGAATGGGGCAGAATTTCTGCGCAATAGGTTTAACCAACTAGTCCTTATTCAAAAAGAAACATTTTCAGAAACACTCATGCACGTCTGACTGAAACAATTCAGTCACTATTTGAATTCCGGCTTCCAATCGTCTCGGACTAGGGCCAGTCCAGCACTGGGGACAGGTGCCGAATTCCAGAAACGATTATCAGCTTCATATTGCCTTTGTTTTTGAATTCGCTCGCTTACCCTCATCTCCCATTGCCTAACCCTTTCCTTAACAAGTACACACACAAACACATGCATACCAGCACGTTATTGACGCCGTATGTAACTCTGTGGTTGTACTTCCCTTTTGCACCAATTACACTCCCAGTTAGTTGCGAATTTTAAGAATTTCGATTCATTCATTTACAACGGTCTCTACGGATTTTCTTCCTTCCTTTTTCTACTGCCTGAAATCAAAACAGACTATTCCGCCAGAGACTACTTCTACCACATTTACACACGCGCCAACTGACTCAATCACACTTGGGTGAAACAGACAAACAAACAAGCAAACCAGCATGTACACAACGCACCAAAAACCGAAGAATGTGAGTAAAATTCCTAGTATGTGACAAAATAGGAAAGGGTCCAGTATGCCAGTGGACCCCGTTAGCCATATACCACCGGAAGAAAACATTCCATTTTCCAAAACTAGCCACGTATGCAAAAGACCGTCCACCCCATCGAGGATTATTTTCTCTGGTATTTCTTTCTCTGTCTCTTCCTCTCTCTCTCTCTCCGTTTGCCAAGAGTTCCGCCTAACCCACCCACACTCTCCACTGTGGAACCCTCCCCCCATCTCCGAGTGTCTGCGTTCACGTATGTTTGTCTGCATTTTCTTCTGTCAGCCTATCGGAATATCGTTATCGATTGGTCACCGGTTTCTTTATCAATTCTCCAACGCGCGCTACTGCCCGCGTTCGATTGCGCGAGCGCGCGCGCGTGCCCAACCCATTCCTTTTTCCGATGTTTCCACCAAATATGATCACCCAACCTTCCATCTCGAACCTTCTTTCAAGTCACAAATCTCAACAGAAAATTGTTGCCGAATGTCATGAGAAATATGTCCATATTGTTACCTTAGGCCCCTGTGAGAATTTGATGAAGAAAAGATACAGGATACAACTGAGCAGGGACACCGCATTCAGGGCGTCTTTTTTATTTACATTTCACCAAAATATCTAGGAGGAAATTTTAGTGTTTTGATATCCGTAAAATGTAGAACAACATGCCAATAATGAACCGAGTCTGGTTTGGATCACGTTGTGGTTTATCTAGATGTGGTTTTATGGTGAAGTTTGCTCTGCACGAAACAAATAAAACATAAACTGAAAGACTAAGAAGCTTTGGACGGCTGTTTCGACCTGACCGGGCCTCATCAGCAGTGCGAATCCACCGAACCGACTGAGGATCAAACCCGAGACCTCACCGGTCGAACACAAGCGTTCTACCCACTTGACCGTCGGGTTTGACACAACTCCGCTTCTCATTTGGTCTATGATATAAAATGGCCCATCTTTGAACGCCTTTTGCGGGCACCCTACCTCGCTCATCTCAGCAATTGCATCCAGAGTTATGTTTCACTGGGACACACTCCGATCTGATATGCTTTCTTTAGCATTGAATTTGTGAAACCGATTCACTGCACTGTTTCACTTTTTTACGGGTGTACTATGAACTGAACCGAATGAGTTTTCCGCACATGTTGCCACAAAGTAGTAATTTTTGAAACGATGGAACGCTCTGGACAGATAATGCGGTATCATCGGATTATACAAGGTTTGAGTTCGCGGGACCGATCAACTCTACTTAAGAAAGAATGTTTCCAAAGAGGTAGTGGAATACATGGCGATAGGGTGTTTCATTTCGATCTTCAACTGAATGGAAAAATGTTATCGTAATATGAAATAAATCGACAGAGTAGTTTCTTATGTGAGCGAAACAATACATAGATTTCCGGGGGCTGACAATACCGTTTACGTGATAAGTTCAGGCAATCAAAAATACTTCGCGTGAATTAAATCAACAAAAGCAGAGTACAAAGATCCAATCATTCACTTTCTGATGATCCGTTGATTATATTTACTCATTATTAACTAAAGTTTCTTGTTGTGTTCGGTTTAAGTAAATAAACACGAACTCAGTTATGCAGTACGCTTATTGTAGAGGGAACACATATAACCGGCCCATAAACCGGTGAGCGAGCAGGAAGAGGTAACACGTAAGAAGGCTGGCAGGCAGACGAAAAACTGACTCAAGCGCCGCACAACATCCGCATGCGGTCAAGCAGATATCTACACAGTCAAACAACCAATCAGCATGGGAACAATCCAATACTAATATCTGATTGACTGTGACCGATCGATACTGTAGTAGATGCAGTCCACATGCCGTGTGTGCAAGTGTGCTAGCTGACTGCATCTGTCACTCAACTGATCAATAATTCAATCCGGCAAGCGCAACAAATGTATCAATTACTTGTAGGCCACAACACCCCAATTCAGTGGTTTTGTTGTCATGGGATTTGCAGTATTGTAACAAGAGAAACCAATAGCTTTTCTGATATTTCGATATAATCAGCCGTTAGACTTCGAACTGAAGCCAGACATTGATTATATA